TCTTTAGGATTTTCATGTATAGTATCATGTCATCTGCAGACAGTGACATTTTTAATTATTCTTTTACAATTTGGATCCCTTTTATTTCTTTTTTTTTTTTTTTTCTTGCGTTATGCGGGCCTCTCACTGTTGTGGCCTCTCCCATTTGCGGAGCACAGGCTCCGGACGCGCAGGCTCAGTGGCCATGGCTCACGGGCCCAGCCGCTCCGCGGCATGTGGGATCTTCCCGAAACGGGGCACGAACCCGCGTCTCCTGCATCGGCAGGCGGACCCTCAAGCACTGCGCCACCAGGGAAGCCCCGATCCCTTTTATTTCTTTCTCTTCTCTGATTGCCGTGGCTAGGACTTCCAAAACTATGTTGAATAAAAGTGGCCAGCGTGGACATCCTGTCTTGTTCCTGATCTTAGAGGCAATGCTTTCAGCTTTTCACCACTGAGTATGATGTTAGCTGTGGGTTTGTCATATATGGCCTTTATTACGTTGAGGTATGTTCCCTCTGTGCCCACTTTCTGGAGAGTTTTCTTTTTTCTTTTTTTTAATCATAAATGGGTGCTGAATATTATCAAAAGCTTTTTGTGAATCTATTGAGATGACCATATGGTTATTATTCTTCAGTTTGTTAATGTCGTGTATCACACTGACTGATTTGCGAATATTGAAAAATCCTTGCATCCCTGGGATAAATCCTACTTGATCAGGGTGTATGACCCTTTTAATGTATTGTTGGATTCGGTTTGCTAGTTATTTTGTTGAGGATTTTTGCATAATATCAGTGATATTGCCTGTAATTTTCTTTTTTAGTGGTATCTTTGTCTTGTTTTGGTATCAGGGTAATGGTGGCCTCGTAGAACAAATTTGGGAGTGTTCCTTCCTCTGCAATTTATGTTGTCTATGCATCTATGAATGTATGTCATCTATGAAAGCAATCTGTCTGGTTAGAGGATTCTTCAGGCTATTTCCTCGAGTTGGCTTCAGTAACTCATCTTTCTTCTATAACCCACTTCATTTGAGTTCTCACATCTCTTGGTTCGACAGTTTATCCTTCTAATCTCTGATGTATCTGCCATTATCCTCCCCTTCTCACTCCTAATGGGGCTCCTTTGCTCCTTCCTTCTCTCTTTCTGGATTCCACTGCCAGGGAATGTCAATTTTTATAGTCCTGTCAGAGCACCAACTTTTATTAAAAATGCTCTCCATGGTATCCACTCCCATTAGTCGTATTAATTTCTACAATTTATTTCCTCCATTCTACTTTGAGTTTATTCTGTTGGCCTTTATTCACTTTTTTTTTTTTTTGCGGTATGCGGGCCTCTCACTGTTGTGGCCTCTCCTACTGTGGAACACAGGCTCCAGATGCGTAGGCTCAGCGGCCATGGCTCACGGGCCCAGCCGCTCCGCGGCATGTGGGATCTTCCCGGACCAGGGCACGAACCCGTGTCCCCTGCATTGGCAGGCGGACTCTCAACCACTGCGCCACCAGGGAAGCCCCTTTTTTCACTTTTAAAGTAGGATGCTTAGCTTGTTGATTTCCAGCTCTTCTGCTGGTCACACAAGGCTACAAATTTCCGTTTGGCTTTAGTTGCACCAGAATTTCTGGCAAGTTGTATTTTCATTATCATCCAGGTTTAAGTATTTTATAACTTTCATTATATTTTTTTCTTCTCTCTTTTAAAAAATTTATTTATTTTTGGCTGTGTTCGGTCTTCATTGCTGTGTGCGGGCTTTTTCTAGCTGCAGTGAGCGGGGGCTACTCTTTGTTGCGGTGTGTGGGCTTCTCATTGTGGTGGCTTCTCTTGTTGTAGAGCACAGGGGGCTTCAGTAGTTGTGGCGCGTGGGCTCAGTAGTTGTGGCTCGTGGGCTCTAGAACAGAGGTTCAGTAGTTGTGGCGCACGGGCTTAGTTGCTCTGTGGCATGTGGTATCTTTCCACGCCAGGGTTTTAGCCCAC